TATATATAGGCCTATATAAGAACTAAAGATATTTATTATAATACAAAAAGTAGGCCTACATACTAATTAGGTTAGGGCCTACTATCTTAATAATGCTTGCTTGTATCAACATTTTACAATAATAGGAACTGAATTGGAAAGAACAAGATGCATAAATATAGCAAGAAGACTTCCAAAAAATAAATAGGCCTATATCAATACCAAGACGAGATTTATCAGCAGTGTGAGTATGTGTCACCTGAGACAGCACGGATAGCTCGTTTTTGTATGACATGAATCTTGTGCAGTTGAGTTATAACGCCTGCATGTTCGGCTGAAACACCCGGAGAACTAGACCTAGTCATCATCGGACACGGTGAACAGCAAGAAGAGAAGAGACTTACTGTAAAATCAGTCACAGATTTTTTAATTGCGTGGTTCTTGGGGAACTCTCGTCTCGTCTTTCTGAAAACTACACATATTTTAATATAACCAGAAATCACGAAAAAAAATTTAAATTAAATAAAATTTAAATTTCTGGTTTATTTCTTAATGGGCGACTTCAACCTGGCTAACAATAACCTCATCGAATTTGTATTGTGGGTGACGGCCCTTATTATTAGTAAGTCACAGCACTTGGACACCACATATCATTTCTTTGTGGCCAATAATATATGATAAATTATTTTCTGGAAACTTTCTATATCTGTTTCATGAATATATTCATGTTCGATTTATGAATAGAAACTTCCTAGAATTCATAATTATTATATTCATATTTATCTTGGGCCATGCCCCCTTAACTTCAAACTGCCGCCACAGGAAAATGAACAAATTGGCGAGTCTCAAAATTTCAGGTTTTCAGTTTACACTATATTACTGAGTCAGTGTGCCAAAAAAAATCTATGGTCCATGATGTAATGCATTTGTTGAGTTGGCATGGAATGACCCAACTGTTAAGAACTTTTGTGATTTCCTTTGATGTTGAAATATGTGTTTTCAACATAGTATCTAGCCATGAGCTAAGTACCAAATCTAAAATTTTGTTTATACGTAGATCCCCTTTTCAAATGTTAAAAAATAACCAACATAAATTTTAAGTATTAAAGTGCCATTCTCCAACTTTATCTCATGCAGCCACACACATGACGGGGCTCAGGTGAATATAGTAATTTTCCTAGTTTTTATGTATGACATTGCCATTTTCCGGCATCAAAATTCCCCAATTTTTAACATTTTCTCACCTCCATGATGGGGATACGCCTTTGTGGATATAGTAATTGTTGTTGTTATTATGTATTTGCCATTTTCCTGCATCTAAAAGTCTCTAATTCTTAAAATTGTTTTACCTCAGTCTCAACCTTGGTGGGCTGAGATAGATGGATTAAAATTTTAAGTATCCGAGTGTTGTTTTGGGGCATCTATAAAGTCTCAAATTCTTGCAATTGACTCATCTGCGCCCCAAAACCATAGTGAGGCACAGGTGGATATCGTAATTTTTGTACTATTCAAGTGCTTTTTTGTGCATCTAACGAGTCTCAACTTCCCAAAATGTTCTCACCTGAGCCCCAACCATAGTGGGGCTCAGTTGAATATGGTAGTTTTTAGAATAGTAAGTACTTAAATTTAATTTTCGGGTACCTAATTAATTAATTGGGTTTTTTTTTTACTCAATTTGTCAAAAACATTATTATTTAATAGGAAAGGTAAGTTCCATTTTGGGGTCATCCAGTGGTATAAAATACTGAAATGTTTGCGTCACCGCCAACCACGATGGTACTGACGTGATGTGGACTCTAATTACATCAACATCCCCTTCTTTAAATATGCCACTTTGCTGAAAACAATAGTTAAGACAAATATATTTCCATTCGTTTTGTTGTTCATGTAAATGTCTGATAGGTTATTACTTTAAAACAATGCTAAAAACACAGTGTCAATACGAACATTTACACATGTAAGACTGAGCTGAGCGACTCCGAATTAAGGTGGAATTAGTAGTGGTTATGTGACGTTTGTCATGCACACGTATTATGCGCTATAGAAATGGAAGACCATACTGTAATGGGAATGAACGTTTCTGGTATTGCCGACAGTACAATCAGTGTAAAATATAGGCTAGTGTGGATTTAAACAATGTCCTAATGGCAATGTTCAAAATAAATGTAAATCAAATAAATATGACTGTTGGGGTGAGGGGGGTGAGGGGTGTATCTTTGTAGTTAGGCAGTTATACACTGTCTTTATGTCTAAACAAACTTTAATTTTAACACCGGGTCTCCATTTTAAAAGCTCCTAAGAGTTTCGGGGAGGTCCTTTTCGTCGCTCTGTTTTTGAATATGTATGGTTGAGTTTACTTTGTCATGAATTGCAAAGAACATGAATAAAGAAATAAAATGAAAAATGTAAAAAATATGTCTATATGCGTACAACAACCAGATTATAGAATTTACTAATAGATCAAAAACTTTCCAATGATAACCACATGAACTACATTACTCCACCAAATTTTAGAAACAATAGCAGTATTGTACAAATAAACGGCATCATACTTTTTATGTTAATCATCTATTTATTTTGGCGCACATTGATCATACAGTGCTCCTATCATTCCTATCATTATCAAAATCGAACGCACAATGAACAGATCATAATTATGCCTATACAAAAAAAATTATTAGATCATCACTCTAGCCCGCGTCAACAAAATTGGGAAATATTGATGCGGAAATTTAAAAAAATGTTTCTTTTTCTCTCGCATCATTTTTTTCAACAGCATAAAAAACAATGTAATTTTTGATTGGAAATACGTTTTCTTTAAAAAACAATAAAAATTAAACCTGTTTTTATACAATACTTACAATATTCTTGCCAAATAAAAAAGTCCCTCCCTCATCTATTAAAAGAAGCAGTTGTTCTGATTTTAAAAAATAGTGATCTAATAATTTTTCCTATGTGCCTTAAATTGGCTATAGTGGGAATTGATTCTCCTGACGCAAATCCAGGTATTGTCTATCGTCACGAAAATAACATTTACCATTCAATAATAGAACAGTCATCAACCTACTTGCATTGAATTGAATGTAAAATGTATTCATGATGTTATGCAGGCCCGTATCCAGAGGGGGGGGGGGTTCAGGGGTCGGACGACCCTCCCCCTCGGCTGGGGTCACCCTTTTCCAGGCCAAATATTTTTCTCAGAGCTGCTAGACCTATAGCCTGTGGCCTGTGGATCTATCTCAGGCCAAACGAGCTGACGAGCATACTCAATGAGTAGATTTAATGCCAAAGACATCACCTAATTATGCCTTTTATTCATCTCGTTCCCTTGTTGACTCATGCAGTGACACTGGTATTAACTTTTAGTTCAGTCGAATGTTCTTGCTTATCTTGATTCTAGAGCGAATCATGGTCAAAATATCACCTCGTCCTGTGTATACACCTTTGAATCATGATAATTATATTCAGCATATGCAAGGGTGTCAGCCTGAACTTTTATATGCTAAAAACCCCCCCACCCTGGATCCGCCACTGTAATGTGCTAATAGTTAATATAGCTTTTAACGATGCGAAGCGAAGAAGAAGTCCCCCAATTTGGTGATTAAATCGGCAATGCCCTGAGAAAATTTCAAGCAACAAATTGAAATGCTTAAAAAAGAAA